CAGGCAGACATTGTAGTGAGCCAAGATCATGCCACTGCACTCCAGCCTGGGTGACAGAGTGAGACTCTGTCTCAAAAAAAAAAAAAAAAATTAACCACCACAAAAAATCAAATAATCCAATTTTAAAATGATCAAAAGAACTTGAATAGACATTTCTCTAAAGATGATATACAAATGGCCAACAAACATATGAAAAAATGCTCAACAGCACTAATCATTAGAGAAATGAAAAAAAAAAAAAAAGAACCTACAATGAGATATCACCTCACATCCATTAGGATGATTACTACTAAAAAATTAAAAATAATAAAAAAAAACAACAAGTGTTGGTGAGGATGTGGAGAAATTAGAGCCTTTGTGTATTGCTGATAACATTGTAAAATGTGGCCGGGCACAGTGGTTCATGCCTGTAATCCCAGCACTCTGGGAGGCTGAGGCCGGCAGATCACTTGAGGTCAGGAGTCTGAGACCAGCCTGGCCAACATGGTGAAACTCCATCTCTACTAAAAATACAAAAATGAGCTGGGCATGGTGGCACACCCCTGTAATCCCAGCTACTTGGGAGGCTGAGGTGAGAGAATCACTTGAGCCCAGGAGGCAGAGGTTTCAGTGAGCTGAGATTGCACCACTGCACTCCAGCTTGGGTGATAGAGTGAGACTCTGTCTCAAAAACAAACAAAAAAAGATTGTAAAATGGTACAAGTGCTGTGGAAAAGAGTATGTATGGAGGCACCTCAAAAAATTAAAAATAGAACTACCAACAATTTCACTTTGGGGTATATATCAGAATTGAAAGCAGGGTCTCAGAGATATTTGCACACTCATGTTCATAGTGCTACTATTCCACAATAGCAAGGGGTGGAAGCAATCCCAATGTCCAGTGACAGGTGAATGGATAAACAAAATGTGGTATATACATACAAGGGAACATTACTCAGCCTTAGAAAGGAAGGCGTTCTTGTCACATACAACATGATTTAACATTGAGGACATTATGCTAAGTGAAATAAGCCAGTCACAAAAAGATAAATGTTATATGATTCCCCTTATATGAGATATCTAAAGTAGTCAAACTCATAAAAACACAGAGTAGAATGGTGGTTACCAGGGGTTGTGGGGAGAGAGAAAGGGAGAGCTGTTACTTAATAGGTATAGAGTTTCAGATTTACAACATGAAAAAGTTCCGGAAATCTGTATCACAATAATGCAAATAATACTTAACACTATTGAACTGCACAATTAAAAATGGTTAAGATGGGCCAAGCACAGTGGCTCACGCCTGTGATCCCAGCACTTTGGGAGGCCGAGGCAGGCAGATCACAGGGTCAGGAGTTGGAGACCAGCCTGGCCAACATGGTGAAACACCATCTCTACTAAAAATACAAAAATTAGCCGGGCATAGTGGCAGGCGCCCGTAGTCCCAGCTACTTGGGAGGCTGAGGCAGGAGAATCACTTGAACCCGGGAGGCAGAGGTTGCAGTGAGCCGAGATTGCACCATTTTACTCCAGCCTGGACTACGAGAGCAAAACTCCGTCTCAAAAAAAAAAAAAAAAAAAAAAAGGTTAAGATGGTAAACCTTATGTGCTTTTTACCACAGTTAAAAAAAAAAAAAAGGAAAACAGTATGTTCAACACCATTTGCCATTAGGGAAATGCAAATTAAAATTACGAGATGCCATGAAGAAACTTACAAATTAGAGACTGAGGAGACATGGGCAGAGTGACAAGGAACCTAAAATGGCCCAGGCAACCTAGTTTTTTAAAAAGCTTTTCAATTTATTTTAAACAATAAAGTGACAATTCCAAATGCCACTAATTAATAGAGAACATTTTGCAACATTTTAATGTTTTGTCATAGTTGATAATTTGCAAAACAAAAAAAAAAGAATAAGACTCTCCCAAATGTCAACATGGCTCTTCATACCAACAGTAAAATGCTGTATTTCCTGTTAAAATACAAGTTAATAAAGAAAATAGAGAAACTAAAGACTAACATATCATGTTATTTTAATAACTATTTCAATATGAAATAGTAAAACATAATGAAGAGCATACGCTTGCTTGGTGCTAATGACGTTTTACAGTCCTATAGATGAAACAACATGCATAATTTCAACCAGATGTTGAAATGGTTTACGATTAGTATCTAAAGACAAGTATTTCAGAAAATATGTAGAAAGGTAACCACGTTTGCCACAGGCGTTCCTCTAAGCAAGTGTCTTGTCTTTGCACTTCACTTGATTTTTCAAAATGAAATTATAATCTGTTCTGAATAATGTGTATGTTTTAAATTCACAGAGGGAGTTCAGCATAGTTAAGAGCTCAGGTTTTAGAGTCAGATTTTTGGCTTTATTTCTTACTGGCTATGGGGTCTTGAGAAACTTAAACTCTCTAAGCCTGGGAGCACTCATTTCTAAAACAAGGATGGTAACAGTTAATCCTGTCTCATAGGATGTCGCGTTGTTTAGACTAAGATAATACCTGTAAAGTGCTTTCCATGGCATCCAACACATAGTAAGTGCTCAATAAAAGGTAGCTAGTATTATTGTTGCTATTCTTACTACTATTTTTTCATTATTACTGTTAATAAAATAATCACCCTTCAAATCTAAAAACAAAATAAAATAGGTTTAGAGGAAGTGAGCACATGAGAGCAAGGATAGGTTGTGGTCAGAGAGCAAAGTACTGGATTTCGGAGGCGGAATGGATGACATCCAGGCTGTGGTATGGGAGTTTGTGGCTAAAGTGCAGGAAAGGTAAAGGTCACTGTCTGGAGTAGAGGTTAAGGAACTGTAAGGAGGTTATGGTTTGTCATCCATATGACGGTTAATTATCTCTCAGAATGAGGACAGGAAACAAGATGAAGAATTTGTTGCAAAGACTTCATTGGATACAGGAAAATAACCGGGAAGATGGTAACACAGCCCTATCCTGGGCCTTCCCGGGACCCCCACCCCTCTTTTTCCCAGTTCTTGCTAGCTTACCTCTAACCTACTTTGCCTTGCAAATAAGATCAGAAAAAAAGCAAAACAAACAACAACAACAACAAAAACCTGACCTACTATCCTACTATCATCTCCCCGTAGCACCTCACAAACCACCTTGGACACCTACTAAGTGCAACTTTTTGTAGATAACACAAGAAGGTTAACACAACTCCTGTCCCAACACCTTTTAATACAGTTGAATGGATACAAACATGGATACAAACATGGATATAGGTATCACTGAAGCAGTGTGACATAAAATAATATCTATATATACAACACTCCTCTGCAAACAGCAAACGTAAAGTAAAAGATACCCAACAGATCATTTTGTTTATCTCGCTATCATTTCTTAATCTATAACATCTCCCTCCCATGTATCCATGCAAAGCAGCAGTACTAGCTGCCCGACTAGATGGTAGCTCCCTCCCTTGGGTTACTTTTTTTTTTTTTTGTAGAGACAGAGTCTCACTCTGTCGTCCAGGCTGGAGTGCTGGAGTACAGTGGCGCAATCTCAGCTCACTGCAACCTCCACCTCCCGAGTTCAAGCAATTCTCCTGCCTCAGCCTCCCGAGTAGCCAGGACTACAGGCGCATGCTGCCACACCTGGCTAATTTCTTTTGTAGTTCAGTAGAGACAGGGTTTCACCATGTTACCCAGGCTGGTCTCGAACTCCTGAGCTCAGGCAATCTGCCCGCCTCGGCCTCCCAAAGTGCTAGGATTACAGGTGTGAGCCACCCGGTCTTGGGTTACTTGAGACCCTACTTTCATTTGGATCTGAGCTGTCCTACCCGCTCACTGCAATCTGGCTTTTCCTTCTTTGAGTATACAATCGATATGGGATGGCTCACCTACAGCTTCAGTGTTTGAAGTAAAGAAAGCCTTATGAAGACTCTGGCTTTTAATGGGGTTCCTCTGACAGTAGAAAGATTCAAACCACAGCCAATTCCAAGAACCCTTCTAAGAACAGAGACAGAGTCACTTCAAAGGATCTGACTTGCTATACCTAAATATAATTCATGGTGCTTTTTCTATGACACACCATAATATTTTTTCCAAAAATCGTCTGGAGACACTAAAGCACTGATTTATTCATAAAGTTTCTACACAGCTTAAGAAGTTTGCATCAAATGGACAAAAAATAGTACAGAAAACCTAAATACAGAAAAATTCAGAAAACTCCATCTCCTAGAAAGCAGGTCAAGGCTGGGCATGGTGGCTCACGCCTGTAATCCCAGCACTTTGGGAGGCTAAGGTGGGTGGATCATTTGAGGTCAGGAGTTCGAGACCAGTCTGGCCAACATGGTGAAACCCGTCTCTACTAAAAATACAAAAAGTAGCTGGGTGTGGTGGCAGGTGCCTGTAGTCCCAGCTACTCGGGAGGTTGAGGCAGGAGAATCTCTTGAACCCAGGAGGCAGAGGTTGCAGTGAGCCGAGATCATGCCACTGCACTCCAGCCTGGGTGGCTGAGTGAGACTCCATCTCAAAAACTAAACTAAAATAAAATAACAACAACAACAAAAGGGAAATTACACAAGAGAATGGATTTGTGGCCAGGGGCAGTGGTTCACATCTGTAATCCCAGCACTTTGGGAGGCCGAGGAGGGCGGATCACGAGGTGAGGAGTTCAAGACCAGCCTGACCAACATGGTGAAACCCTGTCTCTATTAAAAATACAAAAATTAGCCAGGTGTGGTAGCACACGCCTGTAATCCCAGCTACTCGGGAAGCTAAGGCAGGAGAATCGCTTGAACCCAGGAGGCGGAGGTTGCAGTAAGCCGAAATCGTGCCGCTGCACTCCAGCCTGGGCGACAGAGCAAGACTCTGTCTCAAAAAAAAAGAAAGAAAGTCAAATGGACTCAGTTAAAGACCTCACTGAATGTAGGAGAACCAATGGGAAACAACGTAAAGCCTTCTGCTAGGACACAAATAAGAGTCCATCTATATAATCAAGAAATTACTTTGCCTCCTGATCTAAATGCTTGCCTCCAGTCTAGGGCTCAGAAAAAGGCCTGGTTATTTGAACTGGTTGTCAATCAAGGTCCCCTTCATTTTCGCTTTCTTGGCTTCCAGTTCGGCCTAGAAAGAAAAAAAAAAGTGTATGTCTTGATACATGACACAAAATTATCTTCCTTCCTTATTCTAACCAACCCAAACACTCTCCCTTAATGTTTATTTAGTGTACAAACTAGAATCACAGTTCCCAAATCATTATATACCTCTAACATCTACCTTCCAACCTTTCTGATGTTATAGCACACACACAAAAAATGCTATTTGTAGGCAAAATGGGCAAAAAGACAAGGCTGTGGCCATAGGAAATCAGCACAGCTCAGACTGCGCCACGGCATTCCAGCCCGGGTGACAGTGAGATTCCATCTCCAAAATATATAAAATAAAATAAAATAAAAATAAAATAAATAAAATATCATCCTAGTTAGGGCTACAACAAGTATCATGATGTAGGGCCCAGATCCTGGGGTCACTACTACAGAGTAGGGTATACTGACAGTCACAGACCAGGGTTATAAAACTGGCAGCCAACTACTCTAGAAACTCCCAACAGATTTCCTAAAAGATTTCCCTGCCTGCTGGAAGGTCTTTCAGACCAAGACATCCAAACGACTGGGCCCCAGCACCTTGCTACCCCCTGCTACTCACCAGCTCTTGCAGTCGCCTCTTGCTCATGCCTTTGCGCTCCAGCTGTTTTTCAATCACTTTGGCATTCTGTGCATATGAGTCAGCAACTTCCCTCTGAAGGAAAAAAGGAGCATCCTTAAACCAGAAGTCTCACCAAGGAATAACAACAAAGACCTTAAGTCATAATGTATACTACTCAAATCATGAAATCATGACTAAAATGGCAGGACTCTGTTCCTTTTCCATTCTCCATCTTTTCAGTAATCCAGGAGCATTTAGGGTATTTTTCTGGGGGGAGGGAGGCGGATTTGGTTTTTTTGTTTTTTGTTTTTATTTTTTTTGAGAAGGAAACTGACTCTGTTGCCCAGGATGGAGTGCAGTGACACAATCTCAGCTCACTGCAACCTCCACCTCCTGGGTTCAAGTAATTCTTCAGTAGCATTTACATTTTAACTGAAACATTTGTAAAACAGCAGATGACATCTCGCCATCAATATTATACTGAAGAACCATAAAGGTAATTGCTACTACTACTGAGGACAGACTCACAAACCATCAGAGTTGGACTGGAAGGAACCTGAAATCATTCAGTCCAGTAGTTTCTCAAATTAAGAGGGATGAGGACTTTGCCCTCTAAGGCGTCTCTAAAAATAGTATGTGGGAAAAAAAATCACTGATCTCATCCAACTCCTTCGTTTTCATTTTACAGATGTCTCTGAGATTCAAGGAAACAGGAATGAGCTCACTGTCATAGTTTCTCTTCCTTTTTTTTTTTTTTTTTTTTTGAGACAGAGACCTGCTCTGTCCCCAGGCTGGAGTGCAGTGGCGCAATCTCGGCTCACTGCAGCCTCCACCTGCTGGGTTAAAGCGATTCTCATGCCTCAGCCTCCTGAGTAGCTTGGATTACAGTCACGCACCACCACGCCCAGCTAATTTTTTTGTATTTTTAGTAGAAACGGAGTTTCACCATGCTGGCCAGGCTGGTCTTGATCTCCTGATCTCATGATCCACCCGTCTCAGCCTCCCAAACTGCTGGGATTACAGATGTCAGCCACCGCGCCCAGCCCACAGTTTCTTATCAGCAAAGCAGGGTCTCAAAGTGAAGTCTCTAATATTTCCACTACTCCAAGGCTCCAACTCCAGAGTCCCCTTTCCTCGCACCCTTCCCCCCCAAATTCCAGTTTCCTTAAGACCAGAGACACTTACGGCCTCAATCTCCTCTTCCTCTTCATCAATGGTAGACACAGTGACAGAACTGAACTTGCCCATGTCTTTGGTCCGTTTGGTCATCATCACCTGGAGTGGCAGGCAAGAAGTCAGTCCGGTTCATCAAAACAGGATCCATGAACTGTGAGCGTGTGCGCACACGCCTGCGTGAGGGGCTGTGGGTACTGGGGGAAACACTACCTCTTTGGGACAGGCTGACCTATTTAAAAGTGCCAATGTTTTTATTTACATATTTTTCTAACATTTGCCATCAAAGGCTCTTTTTTTTATTATTACTTACTTTATTTTTTTGAAACAGGGTCTCACTCTGTTGCCCAGGCTGGAATACAGTGGTGCAATCATAGCTCACTGCAACCTCAAACTCCTGGGCTCAAGTGATCTTCCTGCCTCAGCCTCACACTTAGCTAGGATTACAGGCATATGCCACCACACCTGGCTAATTTTACATTTTTTGTAGAGACTGGGTCTCGCAAAAAAAAAAAAAAAAAAGGACGGAAGGTATAAAAAAGCATCCTTAACACTTAATGTCTCAAGCTTGTATCCAACTCCTGGCCTCAGGCAATCCTCCTGCCTCAGCCTCCCAAAGTGCTAGGATTACAGGCAAGAGACACTATGCATGGTCCATCATGGGTTCTTAAAATTTATTTTTAATTACTTTTTTTTTTTTTTTTGAGATGGAGTCTCACTCTTGTTGCCCAGCCTGGAGTGCAATGGCGCGATCTCAGCTCCGTAACCTCCACTTCCTGGGTTCAAGCGATTCTCCTGCCTCAGCCTCCCGAGTAGCTGGGACTACAGGCGCCCGCCACCTCGCCCGGCTACTTTTTTGTATTTTTTAGTAGAGACAGGGTTTCACCGGGTTAGCCAGGATGGTCTCGATCTCCTGACCTCATGATCCGCCTGTCTCGGCCTCCCAAAGTGCTGGGATTACAGGCTTGAGCCACCGTGCCCAGCAATTAATTTTTTTTTAAGAGACAGGGTCTTACTGTCACCCAGGCTGGAGTGCAGTGGCACAATCATAACTGAAGGTAACCTCAAACTCCTGGGCTAAAGTGATCCTCCCACCTCAGTCTCCTGAGTAGCTAGAACTATAGGTGAACACCATCACACCTAGCCAATTTACTTTCTATTTTTTGTAGAGATAGGGTCTCGCCATGCTGCCCAGGCTGGTCTCAAACTCCTGGCCTCAAGTGATCCTCCCACTTCTGCCTCCCAAAGTGCTGGGATTACAGGCATGAGCCACCATGCCCAGCTTGAAACATAGTTTTTAATTAGCCTAATTCACTGTTTTTAATTGTTCAAAAAAACCATATGTAAAATAACAGATGACATCTCTCCATAAAAAGAGGAAAATTTGAAGGAAAATAATGTGAGTAAAAACCATACAATTTCTAACCTTACTCATGAGGCAACTGTAGAAAACAGAAAACACATAACAGGTATTACAATTACATAGCATCTGTTTATACACAAAAATGGCACCCGATTAATAAAGAATGCATTCATATACATGCTTGAGGGGACGAATACCCCATTTTCCATGATGTGATTACACACTGCATACCCGTATCAAAATATCTCATGTACCCCATAAATATGTGCATCTATGCACCCCCCAAATTGTTTTTAACTTTTAAAAAATAAAAATAAAGTATAAGAATATATCCATAAAGAAAAAAGAAAAAGAAATAAAAGCAAGAAAAAGACAAAAAAAAGAAATAAAAAGAATACATCCATAAAGAGCAGTTTCTCGTGCACTATAATCTTATTTCAAAACATGAGCTAAATCTAGAGCTATATTAAGCAGTCTCTCTTTCAATGGTTAATTACCTTCTTAGGAGGCTCTTGTTTCTGAGTATATATGTTCGTCTTCCCAAAGCCCTGGCCAAACTTGACTACCGCTCCATCCACAATGAAGGTAACGGGAGCATTCTTCGGCTGGGATTGGTAGAAGAGCGGCAGTCCACACCTGCAATGGCACAGTGGATTTCTGCGAAGTCTCATAATCCAAATTCCCAAAACAGCAATTTGCAAAGTGTGCTTAGACTCTGGGAATATTTCTGTTGGTGGCATAAACTAATGATTGGCTCTTCTCAGTGTTTCCTAAAACTACCTCTACCTGATAAGAATCACTTAGGCCAGGCGTGTTGGCTCACGCCTGTAATCTCAGCACTTTGGGAGGCTGAGGCGGGTGGATCACCTGAGATCAGGAGTTCGAGACCAGCCTGGCCAACATGGCAAAACCCCGTCTCTACTCAAAATACAAAAATTAGCCAGGCGTGGTGGCGGGTGCCTGTAATCCCAGCTACTTGGGAGGCTGACACAGGAGAATTGCTTGAACCTGGGAGGTGGAGGTTGCAGTGAGTGGAGGTCGTGCCACTGCACTCCAGCCTGGGCAACAAGAGCAAGACTCTGTCTCAAAACAAACAAAAAAAAAAAATTCCTTTTTCTGGTCATCTGGTCAAAGATATAACTTTAACTAGCCTCTTTGGGGAACATATTGGTATTTGTGCTTAGTTGAAGTCTGAAGACAGTTGAGATTATAAGGATAAAGACACAATGGGGGCCGGGCGAGGTGGCTCAGGCCTGTAATCCCAGCAGTTTCGGAGGCTGAGGTGGGCGGATCAACTGAGGTCAGGAGTTCAAGACCAGCCTGACCAACATGTCAAAACCCGGTCTCTACTAAAAATATAAAAATTAGCCGGGCATGGTGGCACGTGACTGTAATCCCAGCTACTAGAGAGGCTGAGGCAGGATAATCACTTAAACACGGAGGCAGAGGTTGCGGTGACCCGAGATCGCACCACTGCACTCCAGCCTGGGCGACAGAGCAAGACTCCATCTCAAAAAAAAAAAAAAAAGACATAATGGAGAGTTGTATCCAAATAATTATTTTCCTAACACATTATGCCTCTATTTGCCTATGCTTGGAGAAACCCACATTGTTAATACTTACTTTGCACATTTCTTCCTGTACTGTCGTTCAATGCCTTCAGGTCTGCACAGAAAATGGAAGTTAAAAAATAAAAAGATATGAACAAATCTCATAATGTATCAACTTTACTATCCCATTTCTTCAAACGCTAAGAGGGCCTTTAAAAGGTTTTCATTTTATAGGTCAACTCATTGGTTCAACATTCCTCCCTTCCTGTAACATTTATGGAAGCCCCTGAAATGGGTCAGGTATCTCCCTGACAAAGGAAGAGGAAGAGGAGGAGCAGCATAGTCATAATCACAGGCAGCAATAGTAGTTGCAGTAATAACAACAACAATAATAGCAGCAACCATTTATAAACCCTTTACTATGTGCCAAGAGCTATTCTAAAGCATACATGTATTAACTCGGCTGGGCACGGTGGCTCACGCCTGCAATCCTAGCACTTTGGGAGGCCCAGGTAGGTGGATCACTTGAGTTTGAGACCAGCCTGGCCAACATGGGGAAACCCCGTCTCTACTAAAAATATAAAAATTAGCCGGGCATGGTGGTGGGTGCCTGTAATCCCAGCTACTCAGGAGGCTGAGGCAGGAGAATCACCTGAACCTGGAAGGCAGAGGTTGCAGTGAGCCGAGTTCACGCCACTGCACTCCAGCCTGGGTGACAGAACAAGGTTCCATCTCAAAAAAAAAAAAAAAAGTATACATGTATTAACTCATTTAATCCTTACAACAACTCTGTGAGGTAGGTCATATTATTATTCCCACTTTACAAATGAGGAACCTAGGCCCACAGAGCATTACATGGCTTGCCCAAAGTTGTGGAGCTAGGAAGCAGAGGTTGAATTTAAGCCCAGGCAGTCAAGCTCAAGAGCCCACACAATACCACCACCACCTTAGACACCAAGTCATATACACAAGGACTCAATTCCACCCACACGGCTGCTTAACAGAAACCTGGGACTCATCCTTGATTCTTCTCTTCCCCTCATCTCCCACACCTACTTCATCAGCAAATCCTACGGATTTTATCTCCAAGAAAAGACCTTGAATCTGTCTGCTTGTCTCCACGTTCCTGCCACTATCTTAGCCTACACCACCATTATCAACTCCCTGGACGACTGTAACAGCTCGTCCTGACTGGTCTCCTCACTTCCCCTCCCCTTGTTTCAACTTTGTAATAGGCAATATATGCATATGGTATACATAAGAGTATAAAACAAAAAATATCTTCCCCACTCATCCTCCACCCACCCAGTTCCCTTCCCCAGAGGCAAATACTGTTTCTGGTTTCTTCTGCTCATCCTAGAGATAGCTGATGCATATATAAGCAAAGAACTCTGAATGGTACATAAAGAAAATATTTTTTTTCCTTTTTTAAACAAATATACAGTGTTCTCTACTTTCGTTCACTTAAAAATATAACTTGGTTAAAAAAATATATATATATATGTATATATATATATTCCTATCAATAGATAAAGAGCTACTTCATTCTTTACAAGGACCACATTGTATTCCTTTGTATAGATGAACCAAAATGTTTTTTACGTGTTGGATGAATTCCTAGAAGTGTGTACATTTTAAATTCTGGTAGATGCTGCCAAATTTCTCTCTATAGAAGTTGAACCAATTTAGACTCACACTACCAATATACTGAGAGTTCCTGTTTCCTTACAGTCTCACCAACACTGTATGCCATTAAATTGCATCACTGCCATTCTCACATGTGAAAAATGGAATCTTTTAATTTGTATTTCTTTTTTTAGGAGTAAAGTTACACATCTTTTCATATATTTAATAGTCATTTGTATTTTCTTTGTTTCAAACTGTTAGTTCATCTCCTTTGTTTATTCAGTTACCTTTTAATTTTACATTAAGGAAACTTGTAAATAATGAAGGGGCCTTGGTTATTCTCTAGTTTGTCATTAGTCTTTGACTTTTTCCACCATGTGGAAATTTTAGGTTTTTCTGTGGTCAAACCAATCTTCTTTTCTCACATAATAATTCATACAACTCAATAGCAAATAAATAATTAACCTGATTTTTTAAATGGGCAATGACCTGAATAGACATTTCTCCAAGACATATATATAAATGGCCAACAGGTATATGAAAAGACTAATCATCAGGGAAATGCAAATCAAAACCATAATGAGGGCTGGACGTGGTGGCTCACGCCTGGAATGCCAGCACTTTCAGAGGCCAAGATGGGCAGATCACTTGAGGCCAGGAGTTCGAGACCAGCCTGGTCAACATGGTGAAACCCTGTCTCTACTCAAAATACAAAAATTAGCCGGGTGTTGTGGCACACGCCTGTAATCCCAGCTACTTGGGAGGCTGAGGCAGGAGAATCACTTGAACCTGGGAAGCAGAGGTTGCAGTGAGCCAAGCTTGCACCACTGCACTTCAGCCTAGGCAACAGAGTGAGACCCTGTCTCAAAAAAAAAAAAAAAAAAACACATAATGAGATATCCCTTCACTCCAGTAGTTAGAATGGCTATTATCAAAAAGACAAGGCTGGGCGCAGTGGCTCATGCCTGTAATCCCAGCACTGTGGGAGGCCAAAGCAGGCGGATCACAAGGTCAGGAGATCGAGACCATCCTGGCCAACATGGTGAAACTCCGTCTCTACTAAAATACAAAAAATTAGCCAGGCATGTTGGCATGTGCCTGTAGTCCCAGCTACTAGGGAGGATGAGGCAGGGGAATCACGTGAACTCGGGAGGTGGAGGTTGCAGTGAGCCGAGATTGCACCACTGCACTCCAGCCTGGTGACAGAGTAAGACTCCGTCTCAGAAAAAAAAAAAAAGACAAAAGTTAAGTGTTAGGGAGGATGTGGAGAAAAGGGAACCCTTACACACTGCTGGTGTGCTGGTGAAAACATAAATTAGTACAGCCATTATAGAACACAGTATGGGAGACTCCTCAGAAAATTATAGAACTACCCTATGATCCAGCAATCCCACTTCTTGGTATACATCCAAAGGAAATGAGTTCAGCATCTCAAAGAGATATGTGCATTCCCATGCTCATTGCGGCATTATTCACAATAGCCAAGATATGGAAGCAACCTAAATGTCTATCAATGGCTAAGTGGATAAAGAAAAGGTGGCACGCACGCACACATGCACACACAACAGAACATTATTCAGCCTTACGAAAAGAAGGAAATCCTGCCATTTGTGATAATATGGATGGACTTGGAGGACATTATGCTAAGTGAAATAAGCAAAACACAGAACGACAAATACTGCATGACCTCACTTGTTTGTGGAATCTAAAATAGTCAAACTCAATAGAAGCAGAGAGTAGAATGGTGATTGCCAGGGGCTGAAGGTGGAGGAAATGGGAGGTTGTTGTTCAACAGGTATAAAGTTTCTGTTATGCAAGATAAGTAAGTTTTGGAGATCTAATGTACAGCATCATAACTATAGTTAACAATACTGTATTGTACATTCTAAATTTTTTAAGTATTCTCACTACCTACACACACAAAGAAAATGGTAACTGTGAGGTGACAGATACATGAATTAGCTTAATTGTGGTGATATTTCACAATGTACATGTATATCAAAATATCAAGCTGTATCCCTTAAACACATACAATTTTTGTTAATTATACCTCAATAAAGCTAAAAAGAATTTAACACATCATATTGATAGAATGAAAGAGAAAAACATAATCATTTCAACAGACACATAGAAAAAGTGCTTGACAAAATTCAAAATCCCTTCAATATACTAAGAATAGAAGGGAACTTCCTCTACCTAATAAAGGACATCTCTGAAAAACCCACATCTGTTTACCCACGTCTTAGTGCATTTTCTGTTGCTGTAAGATAATACCACAGACTGGATAATTTATAAATGAAAGAAATTGATTTCTCACAGTTCTGAAAGCTGGGAAGCATAAGAGCATGGCTCCAGCATTGGGCAAGGGCCTTCATGCTGCATCATAACATGGCGGAAGGGCAAGTGAGTGTGAGAAAGCTTGGTTTTAAAACAAAGCCGCTCCTGCAATAACAGACCTACTCATATGCCAGCAACATTAATCCATGCATAAGAGCAGAGCCTCATTAATTCATTCATAGGGCAGACAGATTAAGCTTCCAACACATGAACTTTTGGGGAACACATTCAAATCATAACACCACATAAACTAACATCATACTTTATGGTGAAAGACTGAAAGCTTTCCCCCTAAAATCAGGAACAAGATAAATATGCCACTCTCACTACTTCTATTCAACACTTAGAATAAATTTAACAAAAGAAGTGCAAGAAATGTACACTGAAAACTAAAAAGTATTACCAAAAGAAATTAAAGAAGACCTAAATAAATGTAAACACATTTTGATGTTCATGGATTGGAAGACTTAATATTGTTAAGGTGGCAATATTCCTCGAAAGAATTTCCAGATTCAACACAGTCCCTTTCAAAATCCCAGCTGGCTTTTTCACAGAAATTTAAGCTGATCCTAAAATTAATATGGAATTGGAAGAAATCCAGTACAGCCAAAGCAATCTTGAAAAACAAAAACAAAGTTGGAGAACTCACACTTACCAATTTCAAAACTGACTAAAAAGCTACAGTAATAAAGACAGGGTGGTACTGGCATAAGGACAGACATACAGGTCAATGGAATAGAACTGAGAGTCTAAAATAAACCCATACATATATGGTTAACTGATTTTCAACAAGGGTGCCAAGACCATTAAGGGAGAAAAACCCAGTCTTTTTAACAAAAGGTCCTGGGACAACTAGATAGCCACATGCAAAAGGATGAATTTAGCCCCCTACTATACACAAAAATTAACTCAAAATGAATGAAAGACCTACATGTAAGTAGTAAAATTATAAAACTCTTAGAAGAAAACACAGCTGCAAATCTTCATATGCTTGGATTAGGCAAACATTTCTTCTTTATTTTTGAAACAGATTCAGGCTGTGTCACCCAGTCTGGAGTACAGTGGTACGATCTCGGCTGGCTCACTACAGCCTCCACCTACCTACCCGGTTCAAGTGATTCTCTTCTACCTCAGCCCCAAGTAGCTGAGACT